AAAGGAATAATTTGATTAGTAAAATTTTTTTAATATTCAGATTGTCATGTAATAAATAATAAATATATAACAGAAATTTATTAGTTTTTATTACTAGCATTGTACGTAACATTCTAACAAAAATACCAAAATGTAAAATTGGCCGATTATCGAAACCGATTAATCGGGGGAATGGCCGATACCGATTAATCGACTAAGTGGCCGATACGGCCGATCACCGATTACTTATCGATTCATCGGTGCATCCTTAATTTTAACATATAGAAAATTAATTTATATTAAAGATTTATTTGAAAAAATTTGAAAATGTAAGAAATTTTAACATAATCTGGTGCCAGAACAAAATACAATAAATAAAAGTATAAATTTCAAAAATATGACAACTACAATAAATTTAGGGGAAAAAATGTGGTATATAAATTTAGTGGCAGTTCTATAAATTCAAATGTATATCGTTTACAGTCAATCCCCTATAACGTGCGTTCCTATAACGGAAATTCCTATAACGTAGCGAAAAAATTGTAGCAACATTGGTATAAAGGAGCTCTTAAAACGTTGTAGCCGACTCGTTTCGCGACAAGATTGATAGAATCTGGACCAATAGTGGATGAGCAGCCGGACTACTTTCCTCCGCCCTGCGCCACGCTACGGAGCTGCTAAATTGAGTTTGCTATCGTCTGTACAGTATTATATATAAATTATAATATAAAATATCCACAACCGTGAGGCAGATAATAGTGAGGGCTTATCAGACCAAATGATGGGCACAAAACGCTCAGAGATCAAAGTGAAAAAAATTTAATAAACACAAAAGGTTAACCTTTTGTGTTTATTAAATTTTTTTCACTTTGATCTCTGAGCGTTTTGTGCCCATCATTTGGTCTGATAAGCCCTCACTATTATCTGCCTCACGGTTGTGGATATTTTATATTATAATTTATATATAATACTGTACAGACGATAGCAAACTCAATTTAGCAGCTCCGTAGCGTGGCGCAGGGCGGAGGAAAGTAGTCCGGCTGCTCATCCACTATTGGTCCAGATTCTATCAATCTTGTCGCGAAACGAGTCGGCTACAACGTTTTAAGAGCTCCTTTATACCAATGTTGCTACAATTTTTTCGCTACGTTATAGGAATTTCCGTTATAGGAACGCACGTTATAGGGGATTGACTGTAAACGATATACATTTGAATTTATAGAACTGCCACTAAATTTATATACCACATTTTTTCCCCTAAATTTATTGTAGTTGTCATATTTTTGAAATTTATACTTTTATTTATTGTATTTTGTTCTGGCACCAGATTATGTTAAAATTTCTTACATTTTCAAATTTTTTCAAATAAATCTTTAATATAAATTAATTTTCTATATGTTAAAATTAAGGATGCACCGATGAATCGATAAGTAATCGGTGATCGGCCGTATCGGCCACTTAGTCGATTAATCGGTATCGGCCATTCCCCCGATTAATCGGTTTCGATAATCGGCCAATTTTACATTTTGGTATTTTTGTTAGAATGTTACGTACAATGCTAGTAATAAAAACTAATAAATTTCTGTTNAGGGAACGTATCTAAGCGTTATAGGGTTATAGGGAACGTATCTAAGCGTTATAGGGTTATAGGGAACGTATCTAAGCGTTATAGGGTTATAGGGAACGTATCTAAGCGTTATAGGGTTATAGGGAACGTATCTAAGCGTTATAGGGTTATAGGGAACGTATCTAAGCGTTATAGGGTTATAGGGAACGTATCTAAGCGTTATAGGGTTATAGGGAACGTATCTAAGCGTTATAGGGTTATAGGGAACGTATCTAAGCGTTATAGGGTTATAGGGAACGTATCTAAGCGTTAAAAGTGTTTCAAAAAATTGATAAAAATCGAATTAAACAAAAAGATTTGCAATGGAATGGATATAAAAAAAGAATCGTTTGTCGCTCTTTGGTAGACTGTATCAAATAATGTACACACTTGCGGTTTGCTAAACGTTTAATGCGGATTGCGGACCGTTACACAAAAACAAGAAAACAAAATGGCCGTTACAGCGATACTCTCGAATGGAGTCTTTTAAATTTTTTTGTTACAAAATACGGTGGCGCTCGAGGCTCCAACGGGCTTGCGTTGAAGTAATACTTCGATAAACAATTGTAAACAAGTTAAACAAATTTAAATTTAAAAATTACAACACAGA